AATTACACACACACACACACACACACACACACACACACAAAGTAAATGCGATATATCCTGGATATAAACCACTCTGGAATCACTAGAGAACACTGGAATAAATGACAAATCTGAAACTCTAAAGTTCTTCACATAGTACTAATGAACCCATGAAGTGAGTGCACAAACAAAATGCATCCACAATAGTGACTATAAAGAGGTAGAGGTACCAGCATTATTTAACGGAGCTTTGACAAAATGTATAGCATGGTCCCAGATAACAGTGTATGTCATGTCACTCAGTTGTATGTGCTGGTATGTGATAGGGGTACTGGAAGAGGAAGTGGACAGGAAAACAACTTATCTGCCACCTGCTCCGAGTTCTCCTTCTAATATTTTGCCATTAATAGGAATAAAAAGAGCAGAGTCCCTCAATATCCTTTTCTGCTATTGATATGGCTCTCTTTTAGATTGAAGAAGCACTTCCATTTAAGAAAATTGAGTCACTTATTGAAAGACCAACTTAAACTTATTTTAGGAAACATTAGAACTTTGCCTTATATTTAAATGTTTTAACTAAAACAAATTAATTAATTATTCTAAGATTCCACCAGTAACCAGTGTAACAGTGATCTACCAATAAAAAGCAACAATCATCATATCAATTTATAACCTCTGTGTTTAAAGTTAGTGTTAAATGATCAAAATCAATTTTGATTTAAAAGTAATTTCTCTTAACAGTTTTATACAAATGAAATAAATTCCACTTTCTCTGTGCTAATTCCATTAGCTATTTTTCAGCTTGGTAATACACTATTTCATATATAAAATAATATCCCCAGATAATAAATACGGGATATTAATATCCAGGGACTAGACTCTAAAAATCTGACCTAAGCTTTTGTTTGCATACTTCCAATGCTTCTATGAGGACACAGCCAATTTTCATTGTTAGAAATTCTTATTACAGAATATTAAATGTGAAACCAGAAACTCCCATTTCTTACTCATAATTTTTCCATCTAGAACAACATAGAATAATTCTATTCTTTCTTATATATGGCAGTCACTCCAATATTTGAAGAAAACACCCTCTTTAAACTTATCTTCCCCAAAATAAATATCATTAATTTCTTCAACCACATCTCACTCTCCATACTATTCAGGCCTTTCATCATTCCAGCTGCTTCCCTATAGACACTGTAGTTCACAATGTCTCTCTTAATACATGGCATTTACAATTTAACACAGTAATATAAAAGTTTTAGTCTGAAGACCAGTGTGCCTGTTGTTTATTATATCTCCTAGTCAGTAACAGTTTTTATAACTATATTAGGTCTTTCAATAATTGTAACACAGCACTTCCCAAATACCAGTCTATGGACTGATGCTAATACTTGATAAATTTTTCAGTGATATAGACAGAGTAAATGAGAAAATTTAACAGCAATTTTTTTCACCAACCTAAAGTTATTCAAGTTAAGTTACTCTGTTATTCTGAGTTTATGTCCTTCTTATATATTGGGAGTCACTTTTAAAATAAACTGTTGATGGAAAATGGTAGTTATTTTTTCAAAAGTCTTTATGTGACAAAATAAAGTCTCACATTTCTCAATCTTTTAAAAAAGATTGTCTAATGTCCTAAAACGCTCAGGTAAAAAGGTTCATCTGGTCTATCCTCTGTTATCATCTAGGTAGCCAAGTACTTGGAATAATGTAAAGAACTTACAACAACCAATCAGAAGCTCCACTGATCACTCTTTTGATTAATTTATGGCAGCAAAGTAAATGGGCTCCCAATGGGCTCCCAAGAAGTCCAGTTCCAGCTTCAAAGTTCTCAACACTAATTCCCAAGAGTTCTCAATTTCCCTTACCCATTTCCCACTTACTTTTATGATGCTAAATAACACTCAAACCCAGCCAATCAGACTACAACAAATTAAGATAGAGTTCAGATGGCAGAAATTTACAACCACTTTTTGCAGTTTAGATTATTAAGCCAACTATTTGAACTAAAAACAAACAACACCATCTTGGACAGGAGATAGCAAATAAAGCCCGCAGGCCAAATCCAGCTCACCATCTTTTTGTGAATAAAGTTTTATTAGAACAAATTCACATTCATTTGATTACACATTGTCTATGGCTGCTTTTGCGCTACAATGGCAAAGGAGAATAGTTAGGAAAGACTATATGCCCTACAAAGCCCAAAATATTTACTATCTGGTCCTTTACAGAAAACATTTACCAACCCCTAATCTAGGGGAATGAACTATTTGCTACCAAAGCAGTATTTGAGATCTGTTACAACCACCATTGACAGCTCAGGACATCAATCATCCATATGAGAACATCTAAATATAAATACTGGAATATCTAAATAGTTCTTTGTCCTAATCTGCATGAAGATTTGTTGCCCACCCAAGACAGAGCACTTACCTGCACAATGAGCTATTCTTTAACATACATTTCTCAAGGATTCACTAGTGGAATAGTGAAGAATCCATGAATATGCTGCTCTGTGTAATCTAAGGTAAAAAAAAAAAGTTGCTACAAAACATTCAAAAGTATATAATAAAGAACCAACTGCATGGAACTACATAATAATTTCCTTTACATTTTAGATTCAAAATACAAAACACTTTTAAAGGCACTTAAGGTAGAAAAGCTTAAGTTCAACAATTTAGGTAATATGAACTGTATGCAAATTAATTTCCCTTTTGTGTTAAATAACAAGACTTTCATTTTCATGTATACAGAAGTGAAATCAAAAGATAATACCTCTAATCTAACTCAATCATGTAGTTGTTTAATGTGACACCAGAATCTCTAAAAAAATAAAGTCATGACATCAAAGTACTTTGAAACTACAAAATGCTTAAGAGATCACAGATTTTACAGATGAGAAAATTTCACTGTGACATATAATACTTAAATGCAGAGAACTAATTAGTGGCAGAAACAGAACTAGAATTCGACACTCAACTATCAGTTTGGAACACTTTCTACTTCATCACCAGGATGAAACATATGTTCATATACAGAAGAGTGTGGAGTGATGTTAAAATATATTAGAGGTGGTTCTTTTTGTTTCGTTTTGTCTTGTTTTTGAAACAAAGTCTCGCTATGTTACCCAGGCAAGTCTTGAACTCCTTGGGCTCAAGCGATCCTTCTGCCTCAGCCTCCCAAGTATCTGGGACTGTAGGCACATACCACCATGCCCAGCTTCTAGAGTTTTAAGACTGCAGTAAGCATACTCCTAAGTACTACAATTCACCCAACCTAGGCAGCCCTCTTGTCTTTCTTTATATAAACTACAAGATTATACAAAGACAAAGAAATGATTAATTGTAAAAGCAACTCTTATTAGAATGATCAAAAAAACCAATTATTTTGCTTAACAAATTTTCAAAAATTAAAAAAAATAATGATAACTGGTGAAGAGGCAGTATGATGGGTACTCATACATTTGCTTATTTGGTACAATCCTTCTGAAAAGTAATTTGGCAATATTTTTAAGAGCCTAAAAAATTCTTACTATCTAAACCTCTTATTCCATTTCCACGAATATACCCTAAAGAAAGAGTCTAATATAGAGTTCAAATTTTACATACAAGTATGTCCGTCCCACTATTTATAATGGTGAAAGATTAGAAACAACCTAATACCCAAAGATAGAACTGGTTAAATTATGGTATATTCATACATTAGAATATTAGACAGCCATTTTAAAAAAATCACATTTTTAAAGACATGGATAAGTACTTATGAAGTTAGGTAATAAAATACAGGGTACATAACTATATGGTCAGTATAATCTCAATTTTGTTATACACACACACAAACACATATACACACACTCATACATATAAATAGCATAGACAAAGACTGAAAAGAAATACAAAAAAATATTAACAGTGTTATCTCTGGGTAATGAGATGGCAGATAATTTTTTCTCTTCACACTTTTCAGTATTTTTCAGATTTTCTATAATAATCATGTTAGTTTTATATTCAGAAAACATTTTAAAAATTCATTCTGTAGTCAATTTTGAAATTTTTATAGTCCATATTAAACAACGAAGATTTAGAGTACTCATAAGTATATCTAAATGATGGAAAATAAATCACTAATGTGCAAATGTATAATTTCCACACAAATATAGGTAACTTCAAATCTAAAAGGTAACATTATTTTATCTCATTCTTGAGTATAGAAAGTTGATATTTAATAAATAAGAAATGTAAATCTTTAAATAAAATTGGTGCAAGGCATCTAAAAATTGTGCTACTCTGGCATAACACTGAGGATATAAACACTCTCCAGTGTAATGCAGACACCCAATGTTAGGTTAAAATAGTATAATGTATATATGCTTGGTAGCCAAATAATTAACTAATTGAATTACATCTTTTCTTTTGTCAAAGTGACTAGAATTGGTCTATGCTAAACAAAGAAAGTAATACAACACCATACCATTATTTTAGTTGGAAGAGCCGCACCAAAAGTCATGACAAAAAAATTATCGAACTATACGAAAATCCAGCAATTTGTTGTTGTTATTATTGTTAATGATTTCTTGCTAAAAATTAAAGTAAAAACCCAAATTGCTTAAAGCACTAAAAAAGCATAGCAGTGTACGGTCTGCAATGATTTGAAAAACTCTAAGAACATTCTTCAATGCTTCCTCATTTGCAGACTATCAAACATGATCTATGAAGTAAAGGGTTACATCTATGTTCTATTACCAATCTTGAATATGCTTGTATATTCTATTACAATATACTAATGACACAAAGGGATGTCACACACAAAAAGGCAAACTGCATGTAATTTTAAAAGTCAACTTTAAGATTATGTGATTCTAATTTCTGTGATTTAAAAAAAATCACATAAATATGTAAAATATAAAATACAACCTAATATATTTTTACATAAGAGCTGAGGTTTACCATTTTTAACAAAAATTCTGAGATGGAACTAATAAAAAACAATTTTCATATATACCACAGAGCAATAAGTTTAAATCAGACTATTTTGAGTTGTGTAGCCCTTTATTAGCAACTAAAATAGAAGGTATCTGTTGTACAACACGGGTAGTAATTGACTATAACTGGAGATTTATTATATTCTAATACAGATCATTTATAAATGCAATTTCTTTATTAAAAAGCTTCCACCTTTTTTGTTTGTTTGTGTACAATTTGCAAAACTATTCTGAAAGCGGAATATATGTGCACAAGTCTGCAAAGAGTGCAAATTTAGGATATGGTAAATGCTTTACAAGTTACTTTCAAAAAACTGTCAGCCACAACTGGGCCTTTACATTGTCTTTTTTTTTTGATCAAAATATTTTGATGCCAGCCTTCCTTCCACTGCCCTAAACTATAAAGCATTTTTTAATGAGTTGAAATTAAGGAAGGACTACACCTACTAGAAAAGAAGAGAAGAAAGTTCTATTAGTTTGAGGTTTCAGAATCCCCCCAAACCAGGACCAGTATCTTGGTAAAGGCTAGGCTGGGACCCCGGACAGAGTATGAGAATGTGCAGGTGGCATCCCTGAGGATTCAGAGCTTCAGTGGACCGTGAGTGCTCCAGCTGCATAACTCACTGAACTGTCTTGCCAGTTTCTACACTGGCTTGATTGGGCATAATTCAAAAAGGAAAAGCTCATATTCATTCCATTCTTCTGGAGCTCTGTGATAGCCTAGAAAAAAAAAAATTTTGGTTAAAACAGACATCATACAAAAAGAACTCTGAATGTGTCGGTAGTTTGACTTTGATTACTTCATAACTGAAGCCTAGATCACTCTTTCACTCTTCTGTTACTTGAATTTCTCATTGTATCATATTAAACAGAAAAGAGAATTCCTTATTTCATTCTCTCAAAGAACCTCTTCTAATCTAGTTTGTTCATTAAATATCAATCATAATCTACCTTACCTTTTCCTGTAATTAAAAAGGCCACTTTTTAAACCTTTTTTTTTTTTTTTTGAGACAAGAGCCTCACTCTGTTGCCCGGGCTAGAGTGAGTGCCGTGGCGTCAGCCTAGCTCACAGCAACCTCAAATTCCTGGGCTCAAGCAATCCTCCTGCCTCAGCCTCCCGGTAGCTGGGACTACAAGCGTGCGCCACCATGCCCGGCTAATTTTTTCTATATATTTTTAGTTGTCCAATTAATTTCTTTCTATTTTTAGTAGAGACGGGGTCTCGCTCTTGCTCAGGCTGGTTTCGAACTCCTGAGCTCAAACAATCCGCCCGCCTTGGCCTCCCAGAGAGCTAGAATTACAGGCGTGAGCCACCGCGCCCGGCCTAAACCTTTTTCAAACTTTTATAATCTATTTCTTTCTATTCTAGAAACGAAATCCTGGTCACTTCTGTCTTAATGTATTGGAGTATTTTCTTACCTGATTTTGACTAAATTTGAAATGTATATAAATTGAGTTCCAGATCTAAGAGGTACATGCTAAGATTTTTACTTTTATTGTGGATTGGTTCAGAATTTATTTTATAATAAAAATTTCATTTGATTCAATTCAGACTTTAGGAAATCAGTACAGTTTATTCTAGCTTAAATTGCAGAAATTAAGTTAAACTCTTGACAGGCTTTTCTTTTAGTCAATCAATACTGCTTAAGAGAAAAACCCACACTATACTATCTTTCAAATCACATCAAAATAACACTGAACTTCAACTTTCTCCATTATTTCCCTGCCTTTCCAAACAAATGAGCCCGCTGTTACTTCTTCCTCTCATTCCTAAGTATATACTTTCTTCTTTCTTAAAGAATCTCATATTTTCTTTTGGGAAATCCATACTGTTTTATTTATTAGAAGAAAAATTAACATCATATCTCTTTCCAAAATCCAGCTAACTAAAACCTGTCTCTTACCATTTCTTAAATGAAATAAACATCATCTTTAACGAGATGATTAAAGATAAAATAAACATTATCATTTAACAAGAAAAACATACATGTCATCTATCTTGCTTTACTAAATTATGACTTGTAAAGTTCAAGAGCAAGATCTTCCATTTATTTTTTATGGAGTCTAGAACACTAAGTAAAACCCCCAAAATTAATAAGACCGTATCTTTTGAAAGGACACTTTGGTTTATATTTGTAAAGAGCATACTGGAACGAAGAGTCAAGAGAAAATACAGGTCTCTATTCTAAATAACTTACTGTATTAAACAGGAAGTACTGACCTGTGTTCTAGTGATAAATAAATTTATTCAAGTAACCAAAAACAATGGAAATCCAAATTATGTTAAAGGTACTAGAAAGAAACTTAAAGAAACTTGACCATATGTACATAAAACCAATGATGACAATGAATCACAATGGTAACAATTAAGATATTTTGGAACATCATATGGTCAAATGTTAAAAGTCAAGGTTCCCTAAGGATACTTACATTTAATAACACCCCAATGGGATGTCTTCCACATATAGTATTATGGTATTTCTTCAAGTAATTGCTAAAAGATACAGGGTCTAATTGTTCTATAATACTCATACCCTAAAAAAAAGAAGAGAAAGAAAAAGGAAATGAAAGAAAAAGAAAAAGGACAAAATTTATTATTTCCTAATTATATTTTAAAACTGTTAGAGCTAAAATAATTTTTCAATTAAGGAGACACAAACAAAACATATTAAATAAATCCTGTGAAACATCAAACTCGTTCATCAAAGGTAATCTCATTATAGTCAATTCTCTATTGACAGAAAACTTTTAGTCCCCAGTTTATTTTCTCTAACCTCCAGGTATGTTTCTACGCTACCTTCGCCAGTTGTCACTTAGCTTACGATCCTCAAAAATTTCATGATTTTATATTTTCCTTATATAAAGACTCTTTACATAAGTAAATCTGTGAAAATTTTTATATGAAATCCAGAATTAATTTTAAATTAAAAAAATCTAATTTATGGTTGATTTTCCTCCTATCCACTATATTCCTCCTGCTACTGGCATGAAAAATTGAGAGTTAACTGTAATTTAAATATTTCCATAACAAATACTTAAATATAAAAGAGTATAAGGCATTTTAAATTACCAGCAATAATCTAGGTATGTGATAAAAATACCACAAACTAAGAAAACAGTTAACAAATTTTAATAATTTAAAGCTCATGGAAGACTGATAAAGGCTTAAGCAACATAGATTTTTTTATGAACAAGTTTAATAATGGAAAGTTTTTTTATCACTTTATACTTTAGAGTATCTTATTTTCAAGATTTTAATTCAGAATAAATTTTTTTAAACTACTGTTTAAATAACCACTATGACTTGAACACTTGTTTTTAAAGTAAATTCTGCATTCTCCAAATACATTCAAATAATGTATTCATAACTCATTAGTACAGAGCAACTTCAACTCACCAAGTCAGGGGAATAAATCACTGATTTTAACTAATTCATTCACCAATTACCTTACGTTATTTTCTTATTCAGGAAAAACACTTTACATTTATGTTCAATAAGCTGAATTAATATCCTCTGGGAGAAATATAAATGATGGTTTAACTGGAGACTTAACTGGTATATTCTGTGTGATTTTTAAATTTCACATGTTTTAACAAAATAGGCACAGCGTATAAGCACTGAGCATAATTAAATGGACACTGATAGTAAAAAAAAGTTTCTGAAAAATGATGGTAATCAGTAGGTAACATGCAAACTTTGCAGTGGTGGCATGAAATTTTAATTTTATAAAAAAAAATTTTTTCAGAATATTCAAGTCCTTCATAAGCATTATCAATTTCCTACAAAATCTATCTGAAAGATAGGCACGAGCATGTATAATCAACTTTGAATTGCTTACATATCAATTAGCCACTCTCAATTTATCCACAATCATTTTTTAATGCTAAGTTGGTTTTCCTCTGCCAACCAAGTCAATATTCTCCACTGACATTTGCTACAAGCTCAGAGAAATACAAACTAACTTAAAAGTTAAAATTTAATTAATATCATAATTCTGGTGCCAAAAAAATATTACAGAGTAGATTTCTAATCCAAAAAGTAGTAAGGCAAAGATAGAATTATAAATTTCTTCCATAAATATGGATAATCAAGATATAACTCTCCTAGAGATGAAGGAACTGAAGCATAAAAAAGGTAAAAATCTTGGCTCTAAATTTCTAATCCTAAATGCTTTCTCATTGACTACTCTGATTCATTATAGTATAATAAGAGTGATACTAACAACTTTTTGAACACTCTCACATAGCTACAATTGGCTTACAGATTGATTGTAAGAGAACTTTTAATGCTCCTGAATAAAGTCTAGGACAGCTTACCTTAAATAGAATTCCACACATTAATAAATTATGTGACAATGAGATTCCAATGTACATTTTAGTATTAATCTCAAAGCACATTCAGAAAAAATTTATCACATTTATATATAGATATGAATTCAGAGAGAAGAAAACTAATGATCACATTTGTAGAAGAAAAAGAATTAAAAGTAATTGGCCAGGAAACCCTATATAGAAAAACATAAAGAGTTATAAATGTAGAGAAGACACTACTAAATAAAGAGTTGAAAATGAAGATATATTGGTTAAATTACAATAGGGATAATAAAAAATTGAGATGACGAAAGTTAAGGAATCAGTGTGCTAAAATTTTAATTCCTTAAGTTGTGTTACGTACCTATTAGGGCAAACTCAATTTCATTACGCTCAATTCTCTGACAAATGTGATGGTGTAAGAGGTATGCCTCTTTAAAAGAAGGGATAGAGGGAAATTCAGGCTTTTCTCACAGGTTAACCTCTCCAATTGGAAAATTCATGAAGTATGCAAACAAAAACAATGATAAAATTCAGAAATTGGGCATCCATTCACTAATACTAAATACTGGCAAATACAATTTTATACATATTTATGTTTGATGCTAACAACCGTGAAATTACTATTACCAAAGTTCCAAGAAGACAGAAATGCTAGTTCAATGCTATTGCCAAAATTCCAAGAAGATGTAAAAGAAAGTGCTTCCCCAAATACGCCTAATTAACTTTTCTATTCCTTAAAATACTGGAAGATATGATCAGTGGGTCTAAAGTCCAGGCAATGGACAGCTTCCTAGAGCCTAGTATACTGAAAATTTTATTGTTCACATAAACTTAACCTAATATGCAGCAGTAAAATGGGTCAGTACCCATTCAGCTCTAAGACAAAAGGCACACATTGTAAACACCAAAAGTCTATCCAGCAAGAATATGGGTTTCTGCAGAATTTAGCATTTTCAACAAGAAATTCAAAGATTTTAAGTTAACTTCCTAACTGGGGGTAAAGCATAGGGGGTGTGAGCAAATCTATCATTGTGCTGACTCTCCCAAGTAAAAGGTGAAAGCTTGTGATGTCAAATCCCAAGTGACAATCCTAAACTAAACAGGCACTATTAATTGACAGAGCTCCAAATTCAGGACTCTGATAAGACAACAAATATCTTTCTAAAGAGTAGCAAAATTTTTTAAAAGTATTTAAGAAATAAGAACTAGACACGTCTTTTAATTATGACCACACAATTAACACCTTATTATCAAATAATTAGAATTATGAACTCATATTTTAAAGTAAGGATATACATTTATACTTGAGGATAGTTATACATTTAGGGAGGTGAGGTGGGAAAAGAAAATATTCTAGTTTCTTTAATAGACATCAAGATAAAATCTTAACAGTGAAAAACTATGGGGGGAAAAATTCACCCTAAAGACAGTAATGTTAAGAAGTAATGTCTAATAAATGGCTATTTTACACATAATGTTATGAAACCTACTAAGAAGCTATTGGCCTAAGTTCAAGAAAAAAGTACGAGTTGACAAATGCGAACAATTTTCCCTTTCTAAATGGTAGGAAGAAAGGAATAAAAGTAGCTGATGTTCAAATTAAATTAAGTGACTAATAAATTTAAAAGGAAAAGAAATTATAATGAATGACTACAACTGACATTTTCTGATAATCTTTGTCAAATCATAAATAATTTGCCAATGTCCAAAATGAACACTGGTCAACATCAAGAAAGTGGTATAATAAAAATGATAACATATGACCATGTATATAGATAAAATACGTGTAAGTATGGCCAATATTTCAAGTGATCTAAAGTTCACCAAATCAAAGTTTTTAAATATGTTCTGCTTTAGTCACAGTAATTACTGAAATTGCAAAGTACTAATTACCAAAAAAATTGGTCTACAGCCAATAAAATTACAAGAAGACTGTCAGAATCTACATTTCCTATACTATAGTTACATATTTTCCCCCAACTACAACATTTAGAAGATACAGTTTGCTTTCCTACATATTTTCTTTATGTATTTTTCACATAATTTCCAAGTTATTCAAATGTTAGAGATATAAACATGTTGCAATAAGAACAGCTATTTTTCCTTTACTTTTGAGACTCAGAAATAGTTTTGTTTTCTAGCATTTTAATAACTGTATTTAGTAAGACTTTTCTGATTTAAAAAGAGTCAAAACTTAACAAACTAATTTTAAATAGATACAATCTAAAATTTTATACTTAAAAATAATTTTGTACTCTGTCAAGCTTTCAAAATGTATACTTATTGCAATTCAGAACTACTAACATTTCTGTTAATACTTATAAGAGAACCACCCAAGTATATTTGCTCTGAAAAAGTGCATATGGAAACCAAGACACTGGTTCTCGAATTAATTATTTATAACATAAAATGACCATCTTACTATATAAGTGAATTAAGACAACACTTTAAAAGAGTCTGCCTAACTATGGGTATACATATGTAGATATACGTATGCATACACATGTAAGTTTATGTCTAGAGCTAACCATCCTTATTATTTCGACTGATGTATTCTAACTCCCAGAATTAACTTGTAAATTGAATTATTAATAACAGTATACTAATAAAAGAGTAGAACACTTATGAGCCATTTCAAAATTCTCTATATAAATAAAAATATCTCAATAAATGGACCACAAAAATCAACTCCTAGTCCAAATGTTAAATCGAATACTAAATTCGAGTACATTAATGTGAAGCAAATACTCAATATTTATTTCAGAAATTATATTCCAGGCTATATAAATAAAATTTTTTAAATTGTGTTCTTGTAATCTGGGACATCTAAAATAAGGTAAATCCGATGCAGACTTAGAAACCAAACTGAGCTTACTAGTTGTAATGTATACAACTTATTCTTTTAATTAACAAAAATTTCTAACAAAGCTAGCCAAAAGGCAACAATTTCAGAAGTTATGAGAATCTCATTAATGGGTAAATGTTACTCTTTTTGTTCTGCCTCAAGGTAGAAAACAAAGGTCCATCTATCTTGCTGATCATACACTTGAAAACAGACAGATAGAAATAGTCTTAAGGTAAACTAACAGTCAACAGAGAGGTAAAAGAAAGACTTAAAGACTAAAAAAACTTATATAACAGACTAACAAGGAATATTAAAGTATTTAAATATGACCAAATTTCAGAGTTCCAAAGAATAATATATGTTCAGTGACTTTAGC